TATGGACATGAAGACGAGCTCATTCACGAAGCCAGAGAACACCTCTCCGAAGAAGGCGATGGGGCAGCACGCAGCTGCCTCGGGGCCNACCTTCCCTTCCCTTCCCGCACCTTCCCTTCCCGCACCTTCCCTTCCCGCACCTTCCCTTCCCGCACCTTCCCTTCCCTTCCCGCACCTTCCCTTCCCGCACCTTCCCTTCCCGCACCTTCCTTTCCCGCACCTTCCCGCACCTTCCCTTCCCGCACCTTCCCTTCCCGCACCTTCCCGCACCTTCCCGCACCTTCCCTTTTCCTCACTCTCACCCTCCTCCTCCTCCTCTTCCCCTGATTTGAAGCTGGGGATCAAAATCAGTCCTCTAGGACTTTTTTTTTTCCTCTGACAGAAAAATACTTTTAAAGACTTTAAAAAAATACTTTAATATTTTTTGCTTGCTCACTCAGCCACTCTGAAGAAGGATTGCAGCTAGAGTATTTCCTCCTTTTGACTCAAGACCTAATACTATAAAAAAAACACACCCAACAAACTGCATCCTTGTTTATACCAGAACATGTTAAAGATTTTTAAAGTGTTTCTCAGATTGCATTTACTCATTCTTTACTCACAAACCTGCCAGCTGGATTCTCCAACTTCATGATGAAAGTCATGCCCTGCCTTAATTATTCAGTAGCACAGCATTGTTTATTCCTTCACCTCACATTTTAAGGTAAAACAGATTTTCCCACATAAATTTTAAAGCACCTCCCTCAGGCAATATTCTGGACACCAGAAATTAAGTTCCAGAATTCCCAGTGCTGTGAGGGTTTTAAGGTGGCATTGGGAATGCTGATAGTACCTTTAAACAACCAGGCTGGGAAAAGAAAGCTCTGAGCTGACAGCTCTGGCACTTCTAAAAGTTATGTCTGGAAATGGGAGAAAAATCCTGCAAGGCAGAATGGAGGAAGCACTACTGAGCCTTTTCTTAAGTGATGACAGGGTGCATTTTCATGTTTAATTAACTGTGACTTCATCTCTGGGACCAAAAGCTAAAAATATTTTTGTCTGCTCTGACCAGCTAAAACACAACCAGGAAAATGTAAGAGGTGGCTGGCTCTGGTGGATTTGGGGATGAAGGAGATCCCTTCCATGGTCCTGAGCAACACATCTATACATGACCTTCTCTTTTATCCCATTTTCCCTCTGTTGTCCATGGTTGTTCCTTCCCAGATCCATTCCAATCCTTCTTTTCCCTACTAAGAGCCCTTCTCCTACACATCCAGCATGTCTTACACAGCCCTCTCTTGGTATAATATATTTTGTTTCATGCACTCTTATATAAACACTAAAATTCCTTCTGTTGGCTCATCCCTGAGCAAAGGGAACTGGTTGATGAGGACTTCTTTTTCCAGCTAGAGGAGTGTCCTGCTCCCAGGCTCTCATCCTGCTGCACAACTTCAAGCCCTCAAACATCTACTGGAAAGCAGCCGTAGAGAAGGAATTCAGGAGACTCCTGGAATGCATGAAGGATAATTTAAGCCAGGTGAAAGACCACCCTACCAGAGGGAATGTGATCCTGGACATGTCTGGCACTACAAGCAAAGGATAGTCACCCTTGGCCTACAGCAAAGGCTCTTAAACACTGAGATCCATTGTCTTGTCCTGAAAAGGACCCATAAAATGGGACCAGCCCCAGCACAATGTCCAGTTACAGGTGAAGGCAGTGATTTCTCTAAGGCAGAGGTTGAGTTTGACACTGAGCACCCAAACCATGTCCTGATCTGTGTGTCTCCTTCTTTTCCTTTGTAATCCCAGTTGGGTAAGGTTCTTCCTTAGATATTCTTACTGCCAAACAAGCCATCTCTCAGACCTCATCTCCTCAGACCAGGTTTGTTCTGCTCACGGGCAGGCTTTTTTCCCTCAATGTTCTTGTTTAAATCTTCTTACTTTAATTTATTATATTTTGGATTGAAAATGTCCTTTATCAGAAAGCAGACTATTTCCTTCCACATACCCTTCCAGAGCTGGGGGATTTTCCCAGTTCTCTCAGTTTCAGGGAAGAACTGTGACTACTTGAGTGCTTTGAATTGAACTGATTGTTTTATTCCTTTGTTGTATTAATTCAGTTCAATAAAATCATTGTTGGTAAAAGCCCTTCATGTACAAATTGATAAAACACAGTACAAATTAATTTTCTTCCTATAATATCTATCAAATTACATCATTTCTGTCTAAGACACTCTGATAAAAAAGAAAAGAAACAAAAAGAAAAAAGATTAATCACCAATTTTGCCTTTGATTCCTCATCTGTAACTGCTACTGGTTAAAGATGTTTTATATTCAGAACTGATCTTGAATTGTCTTCAGGGGCAGCTCGTGAAGACATTAAAAACACCAAAGGTTTCAGTAATATATTAAGAACCTAAGGCTAAGACAGCAGTTAATATACATATAAAGAAATTAGTATTAATAGAGACAATATTAAGCATTTAAAGGTTACTCTGTAGGTAAATTGTTAATGGCAGATTACTCCATCTGTGGCCTAATCTCTGATCTAGTTGTAGTAATTATATGAAATAATCCAAGAATAAAATTCATGGGAAAGATGTTAGAAGAAATTCTTCTCTCAGAGGGCAGTGAGGCCCTGGAACATGTTGCCGACACAAATTATTACACAAATAATCCTCTTGTATGCTGAAGACACAAAGTTTCAGGTGGAAAGTGCTAAATCTTTGCTCATGAAATTGGGTGAATTCTTTAAAATGGGAAAAATATTTATTTAATTATAAGTAATGAATATATTTAGCAAAAGATTTGGGAGAAGCAGAAGGGCTTGGTCGCATCTCATTTCATTTTTTCTTAAGTTTTACTGATTCCATGAAAGAAGCTTCAGCATCTACATTTTAGAGAGGCAAATTCCTCCAATACAGCTGTTCCCTTACTTAAACCAGATCCTACCACTCAGTCCTGCCTAATTAGGCAGACTTAGTCCTTGCATATCTGAACATTTAATTTTGAGGCTGTAAATTCAGTTTTAATCAAAGGTAAGGTAAAGGCAATACCCCAAAAAAGCAGAGCACACACATAAATGAAACATCAGCAAACAGCTCCCCTCTTGTGCTGACAGAACCTGAACCTGCCTCAGGACTGCTCATGAAACAAACGGCACATAAAAACACAGATGTTCACAGATCTATTATTGCACCAATAAACAGTGGAATTTCATGAGAAACTTCCAGTGCTGATAGATAAATGAAAGAAAATCTGTTGAAAGACAAACATAATAACGAATGTGCTGTGCTAATGAATCATTGCTTGTAAGAGGCCATTCAATCTTGACATTAATGATATCAAATGAGCTGTGGAATGTATATGAATTAAATTATAGTACAGTGACAATTTGAGTATTTGGAGCTACATGACTCACTAAATTAAAATGGAGGAGTTAAGAAAGCGGATTTAGGCAGAACAGAAGACAAAAGATACAGAGGTGGATCACATTCTTGGGCTGATCAGATTACCTAGGGTATTTTAGTTTGTTAGCAAACAGAGTCCTAAAGTTGTAAAGTGTGTTTCTGTTTGAATTAAGAGTGTGCACGACTGGTAAAAATGTGAACCTTCCACTGAACTGGTCTGGCTACAAGTTTTGTAACTTATAGTTTTCTCAGAAGCACACAGAAAGGCTTCCCAGACAATATTTTAACAAGAAGAAAATATAATGTTAATTTATATCTATCTATATCTATATCATCTATATCTATATATAATATCAGTATGAGCACTTCTTTGTGGAATGCATTAGGATTAAAATATTAAATGGACTATTAAATGCAATTAGAGTCACAATGTCAAACTCCTGAAGCACTCTGTAAGCACTCCTTGCTACCAGAGTTATTCTGTGTGCAGAACAGGAAATCCAGGTTCACAATTACTGTAGGTGGCTGTGGCTGCCTATTTAAATCCTAGCACTACCCTCAAACCCTTCCCTCCATCATAAACTATAATATTTATGGGTATATCACTATCTAAGGTCACCAGGATGGTCAGGCAAGGCTTGCCCTTGGTGAAGCCCTCTTTGTTGATGAGATCTGATATTTAGTTCATTAGTTTTCTGGATATTTAATAAAGCATTTAAGACATCTCAAATGTTTCCAAATAATAACAAGCTACTTTAAATGAGAGTTGCTTGGGGTTTTTTTTTGAGAGTCCTACATCATATTTACATTTTACATTGCATTCAGTGAAAACTGAATTCTGGTTACAAACAGCAGAGACAATATTGGGTGACAACCAAAAAGATCAGTTTTCTGCCTCTAAGAAAACAAATCCTTCCATTATTAGCATTTGTATGTGCTGATATTAAAGGATTTCACAGGAACATGGAAAGGTTTGGGCTGGAAAGGACCCCAAAGCCCACCCAGTGCCAGCCCTTGGCATATGCAGGGACACCTTCCACTAGCCCAGGTTGCTCCAAGCCCCATCCAGCCTGGCCTTGGACACTTTCAGGGATCCAGGGGCAGCCACAGCTTCTCTGGGCAACCCTCAAGATATTTGACCTCTTTGGGACTAATGGTGAAGAATAGTTTTGATACTGGTAAAGCAGATTTCCTGAGATGAGAATTTTGAGGAAATATCTACTTTGTGAACCTTTTCCTGGTTCTTCCTTTAGGAGTCAGGAATGTAGCTGGTCTTTGATGTTCATAGATTTATAAGACTTTAAGTACCTATAACTGCAACTATTCACTCAAAGGCTACTCAAGAAGGAAAACATCAGCTCATTTTGAATAACTTTGTAGTTATTTCTTCCTCATTGTAAAAGGATTTAATAAACATTTTTTTTTAGCAGAATTCCACAGCAGATCAAAAGTCAAAGCAGAGCTGAGGTAACAGCACTAGGAAAGGGGAAACTGCCAGCAATATCTGTCCATCAGGAGTGTTCCATACAGCAACAGCGAAGCACCAGCACAGGGTTTGGAGATGCATTCTGGAAGGTTTTGATTTTCATGAAGAGTTAATGAGAATCATACCTTTGAGTCCCTCAGGCAACAGTGCACTGCAGCAGGCTGACAGTTCAGGTATGACATGATCAACCACTCTCTTACCACAGGAAAGTGAGCTGCAAGACATGAAATAATAATGTTGTGTCCAAGGCGAGCTCAAGGAAAGGGTCACGTCCTTGGGGATGAGGAGGAGACATCATTTGTCAACAGATGACTTTTCAAAGGAAGTTTCTGCGAGCATCCAGAACACCCAGCACCTGGCAGCTCTTTAAAAGCATTACTGAAATTACCATCACCTGACACAGAAAGTTTGAGGGTTTATTTTTTGACAGTCCACAGACTGGAAGGGAGGCTATAGAGCAGCCAGACTGTGGCTGCAGCAGCAAACCTGTTCTCTATTTTTAAAAAAATTACAACCTGCAAATCTCTTGAACATGGAATTATTGTTTGAATCATGTAAAGTAGGATTTGTCCAATCATTTGTTTTTTAAATATATATTAGGATTTTTTGTACAGATACTAAACAATACAGAGGGCTGAGGAACTGAGACTCATTTCTTGAACTTACTTCATTTATAGCTAAACACAACATGATATAAAGCACCAGTAAAAGTGGACCAGGCTCTGTAATAAACCTTGAACCTCTAAGTAAGCTGGCACATCTAGGGAAGAAATGCTTACTCCAGGTGAATTGAGCTTGGTGTTTATCTCAGCAGTGTCACATTGGGTTATGGTGGCAACAGGTCCTGTCTGTATCACACTCAGTGGCTCATTTTTACTTCATTAGTTACTGTCAGCCTGAATGTGCCCATGACGATGTAATAACCCCAGTGTTCACTGGCTGAGTAAATCACATCATAACCTCCAGCCAATGCAATCACTTTATGGCACACTGAATTTGCTAAATTAACCCAAAAATTCTACTGCAAAGGCTCTTAGGAATTCTTAAGTGTAATTTTAATGCATAAGCAATATGTGATGTGTGGTGGCTGTGTATGTTGATAAAATTCAGCTGAAGTTAAATGGCTCACAGGCAAAAGTCTTATGTCACTGAAAAATCACAACAGGATAAGAGACAAAGCAAGAGAAATACAAGATATATGGCTGAGTGTTTTGTCAAATATATGTGTATGCATCGTTATACCACAGCCAAAGGAAAATATGTAAATTGCAAGGATGTTTGTCTGTGCACATGGAACAGAACTGTGTTGTTATTGGTGGGACACACCCTTCTCAGTCACAGAGTCCCTGGCTCCTGGCCCACAGTGTATCCTGAAATAAATATGGAAAAGCTCACTCCCCCCTCACTTCAGTGTGAGCTAAATTAAGCTGGAATACTTAAATATTTCTATTTTAAAAATAAGTGCTACTAACCAAGAGAAAGCTTTCTATCAGAGTGTGATTTTTGAATTAGAGTTCCATTTTTTTCCAAATAGCTCTTTGAGGTCACAGTAGCCAAGAATACAGTAAATATTGGAAGCACCCTATGAGACACTGATAACTGAGCACAAGAGCCATTAAGGAATTCTAAGGACTAGCCTACCTTAGTCTTGTGGTTTATTTTAATTAGATATTGCACAGAGTATTTATTTTCCTGAGTACTTGTTCATATGTCAGCAAAGTTAGGACATATGATCTCATATTGGCCATTGGACGACTATTTTTGTCTCCAAACTTAATTTCCTATGTATTAATAAATACTCAAGGCCAAAGAAAAACAATCCAGTCATGTCTGGAGTTAGGATTATCCTCCTTCATAAAACAGAGATTTCACTCAGCAGTTTGAGTGAGGAACAGGTGAGTTTGCTGCTTGGAATGTCCCTTTAAAGCATATTTTTAAGATAACGTGGATGTTACAAAGACAGATGTCTTAAACCTTATTAGAAAGCTCATCCACTTAAAGTTGCTCCTAAAGGCTAAATAAATGGAAATCTCAATCCTGCAGTAGAGTACAAAATTACTTTTTTTCACCCAATGGAAGAGAGCAATTTCCAGATAATGGATTATGGCACTAGAGGACTTGAATCCTTACTTAACATGGTTGGTTTTGATGGTCAGTTCTAATATCTTGTGATAACTGATTTTGATACTAGAGTAATTCTCTTCCAGAAGTACACTGTCAAACTGTTTCAGATAATGAAATTCTCAAATGTTTTATTTGATTCTGTAGCAGAAGAAAAAACATGAACAATAACTACTGAACATCATCATACACATGAAGCCTTATTTACTTACTGCCCCCCTTCCAAGAAGATCCTGTGGAATGTGGACTTTCAGAAAGGAGTGATGAGAGCACTTACCGTGAGGAAACCCCCATCACATTAATATAAATCAGATAATATGAGAAAATTAGTGTAAATATAAAATTCTGTGAAAGCAACCAGGCAGGATGGCAATGAACTCTATTAAGAAATTGGATTAGGAAATCAGGAAATTAAGAAATTAGATTAGCAAATATCTGATTATCAGGTTTAATATTTATACTGAAGGAGCAGTCAGTGAGCTTGAAACAGGGAAGCTCAACACTAATTAAAATGTTCACTTTAGGACAATTGTGGGACTGCCACATGAAATCAATGCTTTATTAAATTTGAAAGATTGAACCCCAAAATAGCCTAAGAGAATACAATTTCCAAATTTGTAACCATATTTTGGATACTCTTTTTAATACAATGTTTGTTGTTTAATTAAGCATACTTTGTACTTTGCTGGAGGTCCCAGTGAGACTTCTTCCAGCAGGATTTCCCTCATACCTTCATCCAGCAGAATTTTTAAATGCCCTCTGGACCATTTAGGACGGTGCTTGGTGAAAAGCAAGACACTGCACAAGTCACAAGTAAGCCTGTAACTCTATATAAATCTGTATATGGGTTGGTTTTTTTTCTGATTTCTGGACTAGATTTGACTAAGAAATCTTGAGTAAATTTGCTAAAATCCCCAGATTAAAAATAGCTTTAAATAAATCACCTGAGGCCTGACTGTTTTACTTGGACTGATTTCTGCCTATAAGGACTAATTCACCTAAACACCCATCTAGGTTCTGTTACTGCATAAAAAAGCCATAAGGGCTCCAAAGCGTGCAGTGCTCTCAGTTTAACACAGAATTCTGGATCTCCAGGCTCTGTTTGTGTTCAGCCGTGTTACTGAGTCACTTGCTCTGTGTTCTCCGGGCACCTGTCAAATTTGGTTCTTTTGTATTGAAAACCAGGAATTTCCTAACTTTACTATGCCATCGAGCTGGGTTTTTCTTTTTTTCAGATTCAACTTCCCTGGAAACTGATTAACTTCACCAGGGCTCCTTTTGCATGAGCTCAGAGGGAGGCTCTTCATTCAGCTGTCACAGAATCTCAAAATGGGTCAGGTCGGAAGAGCCCAGAGAGGGTCCCCAGGGCCATCCCAGAGCCCAGGGCCCAGGAGTGTGTCCAGAGGGCTCGGGAATATCCCCAGGGAGGAGACTCCCCAGGCTCTCTGGACAATCTGCTCAGGGCTGGGCAGTGCCCAGGGCAGAAGCTCTGCCTCCTGGGCAGGGGAATTGCTGGGCTCAGGCCCTGCCCGTGGCTCTGGTGCCATTGCTGGGCCCCGGAGCAGAGCCCGGGCCCTGCTCTGCCCCTCCCTGCAGCCAGGGCCAGCCAGGCCTGAGGGCCCCTCTCAGCTGGGGCTCCTCTCCAGGCTGAGCAGCCCCAGCTCCCGCAGCCTTTCCTGGACACTGAGATGCTCCAGGCCCTTCCTCAGCTGCGCAGCCTCCGCTGGCCCCGCTCCAGGAGCTCCCTGGCCCTGCTGTGCTGAGGATCCAGAGCTGGACACAGCACCCCAGAGCTGCCTCCAGGGCTGGGCACAGGGGTAGGATCCCTTCCTGACCAGCTGGGAATGCTCTCCTCATTATCCCATTGGTGCCAGGGTACGTTGCTGTCTCAAATGCCACACATTCTGTACAAATGCTCATTCTAAGCTTCCCAAAATAAGAGCCACACATTTTTTGCACAAATAATTGTGCTATTGTAGGATACCAACGTATTTACTTGTCACAGAACATAACCACCCCTGTGGGATGTGTTACTCAGTGTGTAGCCTCAGAGTAAACAAACTGCACTCAAAAATAAAGCTTTATAAATGAAACCTCTCTGAGGCAAGAGCAAGGGGCACTGAGGCAGAATTAATATTCCTCTTAGCTACACCATTTATCCCAAAATAGGGCCAGTGGTACTGGAAAGACACAGTGGAAGAAATTGCCTTCCTCACATAAATCTCCAAAGGAATCCTTTTAAGTTGTGGAATTAAAACCAATAACAGGGGAGATAAAAGCCAGCCATTTTGTTTCAAGTTAATCTTGCAAACCTCAGAGATAAGGCTTGACAAAAGAATGTCTTAATTGGAGTCTGGCATCTCCATCCTTTTGTAGCTGTGGGACTTTGTTCCTGCTTTCATTCCTTCCTGTATATTACACTTTGGAATCCCAATTACACTGCTAATGTAAATTAAAATGTAAATTAATCTGTTTACTAATGCAATTATGCAAAGGAACTCTACTTCCACTTTAATGCATTAAAAGGAGAAGAATGCTTTTAAATTGTTGCATATGTTAGTTTTTATTATCCTGAAATAAATAAAAACTAATTAAAGAGAAACTGGTTACACTGAAATCAGTAAGAAGCTGCTTCAGCAGGATCCACTCCTACCTGATGACTGCCTTCAATGAGCACAGGTTAAAAAGGGAATTTTTCCTCCTCTAAATTTCACGTGTAATTGGCTTCAGAGCTGTCTCATCCACCACAATTCCTCTCCTCTAAGAACCCATCTATTTCTCATACTCAGATTCAAAATTCAAGTTATGAGGATAAAGGAAAGGATGCAGTGACTTGAAACAAGCTGCTCAAGAAATAAATCATAACTTGAGATATTACAAAAGATTAATTCTAGAGATTTATTTGAAGGTATTATAGAATCATAGAAACATTTAAACTGGAAAAGACCTCTAAGATGAATCCAACCATTACCCTAATGGTACCAGGAACATATTCTAAGCAACACTTCTACACACTTTGAGCATTTCCATGTGTGGGCCATAGGATTTTATTCAAAAATTAATATTATGGATATCAAATAGATTATTTCATTAGAAGGGAATACCAGGAATGCTAAAAACTAAGAACAGACTCCATTGTTATTTTTAAATGTCTTCAGATTTTCAGGTTGGGCACATAACAGGTTGGACTTCTGAACTGTAACTTGAATTTCACAAGAGCTAAGAATTTATTGTCTCATCTGAACACCAAGATCTAGAAAACAATCAGTTCCTCTCAGTCTGCAGATGACATTACAATTTATGGGAATTTTCTTAATTTGTCTATTTTCATAAAGATGTAAAATTTTGAAGTAAAAGCCAGATGAAATTGTCTTATTCCAAGATGTGCCTGTTCTTTCCTTCCCTTCTGGAGAACCAGCTTTCCTGGAAGTTACCATCCATGCCCAGGCATGTTCAGCAGAAGTGCATGCTGGACCACTGCTTATGGTCAGGTCTCTGAATCATGGAATTATGTGGTCATTAAGGCTGGAAAAGGCCTCCAAGACCATCAAACCTTTGACTGAAAGGTTTAGCGACCCACTGTCACTAAACCACATCTCAAATTGCCACACCCACTTGTTTTTTGAGCACTTCACTAACGGTGATTCCACCTTGGCTCTGGGCAGCCTATTCCAGTGCTTGACCATCAATGAAGAAATTTTTCCTAGTATCCAACCTCCCTTGGTACAACTTGAGGCCATTTCCCCTCTTCCTATCGCTTCTCAAGTGGTCAAAGCAGTGAAATGCTGCAGGTGGAAGAAATTATGAGATTAATTGTTCTGGCCACTCCACAGGAGACAGCATTTACTGCATCTTTGGATCAAAAGGCCTCCAAGATTGGAATGGGTTTAGTAAATTAAGATGTAGCAGTTTTAGGTAATTTTAACAGCTTGCTTCCTTATGAACATCTTTTCAATCTTGTCAACACCTTTCTGTTGGCTTTCTTTAACTTATGGATTTCAATCCATTTCAGAAGGTGGAAAACCTGTGACAAATTAGGGAAAACTTAATAATAATTAAAAAATAACAGTAAAAATAGAGCATAGTTGTAAGAAAATGTTTTTCTATGAATAAAGCAAATACTACCAGGTGCCTGACCATGCATCCTCAGCCTTTTACTTTTATTTTCTGATTAATTTTGCCTTCAATCAAGAGTTTCTTGTTTTTTCTAGGCACTTTAAAACACAGCTACATATTCACCAGAATCAGTGAATGCTAATAATTGTGAATAATTTTCTTATTGAGGCTTTTAATTCCTTAAGTTGAATGCCCTTATTATGAGATAATTCTGTGTATCCTGCCCTTTATTAACCTCTTACATTAATCAGCATCTGCACTGCTGTTTCAAATCCTCCCTTCCTGGCCCCCAAGGTAATGAGATAACCTCTGGTCTGCTCCTATTAATTCTTCTGGACTTTTTCAAGAATTTCTACTCATCTTCAGAACACAAGAAAAACCTCACAATACTGAGGATGTCCCCTCTTTTAAACAGTGGCCTTTTATCTCCAGGCTTCCTGTAAATCAGATCCAGAGTATTGCTCCTGGAACTTTATATTTGGAAAAAGGATAAGAGATTCCTCCATAAAGTCATGCACATGTCTGTGTTTCCTATTATGAAAGGTTTAGTGTGAGATATTCCTATGCCTTTTCCTTTATGTAGGGATGTAGAAAATTCCTGTGCACTTCCAAATTCCTACAGTGTGCTGGCTAGAGTGCAAGAACAGGGAACAGGAGAGTAAGGAATACTGTGGATTGCCTTCTTCCCATTTGAAATGTATTGTGCAAACAGTATGGAATGAACCAAAACAGAATTTGTATACACTGTAATGCTTAGACAGCCATCCCAGAGTGGCAGAGTGATGCTCTTTTAACAGTTGTCTTTGCATAAGTCCTTCTCATATTTAATATCAATCAATTTAACATGTTTCATTAAAAAACACATTTATAGTCAAAGAAATATCTGAAATAATCTGTGCTATTTTGTCTGTAATTCATCTTGGTTTTTGTCATGTTGGATAATTTGGAAAAAAAAAGTTTAAATAGCTCTGATCGGACCTCACATTATTGATTAATATTTGCAATAATATTGATTATTAGTCTAAACTATAGACACAGTTTTTATTTTATTTAGTTGTTATATTTGGTATCAGGTATTTTTCTTCTTGGAAATGTTTAGGGTAAAACTTAACAAAACTTACACATATTTGTACTCCATGAATTTATTACTGAGCAGAAATTCTAAGCACCATGAAAGTAATGTGAAATAATTGTGTCTGTACCCGTGATTTGACTTGTGTGGTGGGAATGGCAATTAACTCCCAAAGCATTGTGTCCTGTGTGCCTTCTAAGAGGTCAATATTTCTCCAGACAGCCCTAGAAGAAGGACATCTACCTGATGAAACTGTGTAAACAAAACATAATTTTGGTGATCTGCAAAACTCTGCAACTAACTCTGCAACTACAGAGGTCAGTATTAAAACCCACCTTGATAAAACCAAAACAAACAGGAATGTTACAAAGGCTCCCAAAAATGCCAACTCAAGGGAGAAGCTGATGATTTAGTTGGAGCACAGCATGATGCCATGGTCCAGTGGCTGTAAAGATAAATTACTAATTATTACATGCATAAAATATGTAAAATAGGTAGTAAACTTGAGGCATAAGGTTTTAGCTTGCAGCTCCACAAAGCAAGCAGCACATCTTGGCACTCCTACAGGACAGATCTCAAGCAGACTCAGCAGGGACAGAAGGAAGTCCCAAATAGCAGCTGGGCTTGGGAAAGCCTTGGTACGCTGACTAGTTGCTGCACCCTCCCTCTCCCTTATCCTCAGGAAACTGCTTCCACTGACCTCAGGACCCTGAGGAACAGGTAACAGGGGTAAACATAAGCAGAAAAAATGGTAATTTTGGAATTGTTAATGTTTCTGTCACTGTGAAAGAACTAATGATTCCTGGATTAAACCTAAAGGACTTCATGGAAACTTGGAAATTCTAGTCTTAGTATGGGAGCTGCATCACTTTAGCTCATGTGGTTTTTCATCTGGATTTGACCTCCAGGGCCTTTTTCAATATTTGGATCCAAGTATTGGTGGAATTTGGACAGTCCAAACTATAATTTCCAAAGCAGCATTTTGCCATAATCCTTCAATCCTGAAAATTACCTGCTTTTGTTTTTCCAGCCTCCAAGTCCTGTTATTGCTCCCATTCCAACCCCAGCACTCTCCACTGCTCTGTGGCACCCAATATTACTTCATAAATTCTGCTTTGCTGAAATCTGGAGCAGAGTCCTGCACAGTCTCTCATAACTAACCCCAAGGTTACGCAATAACCAACTCTGTCTGCTTCCCAGTTTGTTTTTGAGCATTCCCAATGAGCCCAGATCTCTGCTTCCAGAGTGCTTTGGAAACACTGTGCCCTCCAGAAAGCTGAGCAGCCTGGTATGGGCTTTAGAATGCACTGACAGCTAATCAAAGTTTAATAAAAACTACAGAAACAGTCTTGGAGTGAAGACCAGCACAGCATCACAAGCACTCTTGCCTCTGGGTTGTGTTATATTCCTTGTCTTTCTCTCATGGATCACATTAATCTTTCACTACACAGCAGCACAGCTGCTGGCAGCAATGCTTCTCTCCCAAAAAACTTAATGCCTCTAACTTTAGGCATTCAGGGTGGGGATGGTG